GGGGGGGGGGGGGGGGGGAGATTTCGTGATGCGAGTCTATCAGTCAAAGTCTCATGTCAATTCCCCAACGTTTGAGTACAACGACAATTATTAAAAAACGTCAATTTTTCGTTGCAAAAAAATTGATTCCACCAAAGTATCGGGAAAAAACTAATAATAATTCAATTAACTGGGAATCAAAATATTTCATGCCTCATTTATTGATGTCTATTGAAATACAATCAAAGTCATGTACATTATCACTTAATTTGAGACGTTATCATCAAAGTGGTCATACCCCTTAAAAATTCTATACGATATGTGTTAGTCTTGAAAGCCTTCACATAACATGTCCAGTTCGAAAATCCACATATACGAACGATGAGAAAACGTTTGGAATTTCGATACCAGAGATACTTCAGCTCACTCCCAAAAAATATAGATTGACAAACTCTCATGGAATAGCGTCGGTACGGGTATTTTTCTCTGTTTCTTATAATATATGATACATGAAGTAATTACATTAATCTCATTTTTCATCAAATACAAAATTTTTCCGTCATTATCTGAAAACTAATAAGTCAAAGGGAGCAATTCCCCCAATGAACGTGAAATTTGAATCTCATCAAGTTGTTGAATCGCCAGATTTGAGGACTATATTAGGAATTCCAGATCCTTTATCTCTGTGAACAAAATATGGCAAATAGCTATTTTCGTCACAAGGCCAAGAAAAAAACGTTTTTGACGAGTGTGAGGGTTGCAGATCGCAGATTTTCTTCACAATGTCCGTAAACGGCGTTTGACGGACAGTGTGATGAAAAATTTTCTACAACACGCAAGACGCACCTGCACGCTTGACAAAATTGTGGAAAACAAACTTTTTAACATGACGGCGAAAGAGAAAAACAAAAGGAGTGAGCAGCGCGCGATTGTTATGTGGAGTATAAGTAAAGTATCGTCTGAAGCGGAAGAAGCAGAAGGAGTAGAAGGAGTAGAAGGAGAGAGAGAGAGAGAGAAAGCAAAAAGCGAAAAAAAAATCTGTCCTCTGGCGCTTGCGGAAGGGAACATTCATGCAAGAGTGGAAAGAAACACGAACGAAAAAAAGGAAAAAAAAGAGAAGAGTAAAAGATGAAAATGTAGAAAGCAGAAGAATGAAGCACACAGTGAGAGAGAGAGAGAGAGAGAGAGAGAGAGAGAGAGAGAGAGAGAGAGAGAGAGAGAG